TGTACTAGTAGTATTGCGAATTATTCGGTGTTGTATCATAATGTTATCGTGATGAGTGTTCGGACTAAACACTTTTGTTTGTTTGTACTCTTGTTTAATATGTGTTAGTAATTCGCTTATGAACATTTATTACTTATGTTGAACTAATTATTTATATGTTTCTGATCAACCTATTTGATGCAGGTATGGCGTACGACACACCGGCGCTGTTGAACCGTGGGATTGACAGGAACCACCGCTCGTTCCTGTCAGCAGTCGAGGGTGCACAGCTCGGCACCTTCCGTCCACGCACGTCGCGCGAGTGGTTGCGTGTCGACCCCCGTCACGTTCCTTGGTACGCGTATGTTCACATTTCAACCCAACTTTGCTTTGTGTTGTACTTATGTTTGAAGTTTGCTCTATACAGGTTGCGTGCAGCAAGCCTTCTACCACTTTGTAGGCTTGTTGAGGCGGCGGCGGACGACCGTGACCCAGCGAAGCGGTGGGATGCAGACCGGTCACTCCTTGCCGCTCTTATAGACCGCTGGAGACCTGAGACGCACACGTTCCACCTTCCCTGTGGGGAGATGGCTCCGACACTGCAGGACGTGTCGTACCTGCTCGGGCTACCGCTGGCGGGAGCAGCAGTTGGTCCCGTGGACGGTGTTTTTGGGTGGAAGGAGGATATCACTGCGCGCTTCGAGCGGGTGATGCGCCTTCCACACCTAGGACCGACCACCACCCTTCCTCCGTACTCTACAGTCGGGCCTAGCAAGGCTTGGTTGCTCCAGTTCACTGTAAGTAAATAAGTTGTTATTATCATACGTGCTTATTTGCGACCGAATGAGTGTTTTGTAATAACATTTCATTCTTAATTGTAGGCGGACCTTCTGCACCCTGACGCTGATGATTACTCGGTCCGACGCTCCCTTGAGGCGTACCTGTTGTGGTTGTTCGGGTGGGTGATGTTCACTAGCACCCACGGGCACGCTGTGGACTTCCGGCTGGTCCACTACGCACGGTCCATCGCGGATGCTCAGCCACAGGACGTGCCGCAGTGGAGCTGGGGTTCTGCCGTGCTAGCAGCCACGTACCGTGCCCTCTGTGAGGCGTGCACGAAGACTGACGCGGGAGCGATCATCGCTGGCTGCCCTATGTTGCTTCAGCTTTGGGCAGCCGAGAGGTTTGCCATAGGTCGACCAGTGGTGGACAGCGCACCCTACGGGGTTGGTCGCAGCGCGCAGTGGCCAGAGGACGGTCCCACGATGGGGACTTACTGGTGTCGACGTGGGGTTAGTGCAACTTCGCTGCGTTATAAGTTTATCAGTCGTCTTTTTTTTCTTCACATAACATGTCTAATTCCGATCATGTTTATTGCAGCGTCGTTACGCTCACGTCCAGGTGAGACGTGGTTACCCGGACTTCGTGTTCGAGTTTGACCGTCTCCAGCCGAGCGACGTCATCTGGGAGCCGTACACAGAAGAGGCCGTCGCTGCGAGAGCACCGCTAGGACTTTCGTCCTTGTGCACACGCGACCAGGCTTACTGGCTCACCATCCTGCCGATGGTGTTCGACATTTTTGTTGAGCCTCACTGCCCGCAGCGTGTGATGAGACAGTTCGGACTTAGGCAGGTGTTTCCGGGCAACGTGCAGCCGACCGTCCTCCCTGCCGACCACTCGTGAGTTCGGATTGTTCATTTCTAAATTTTTATGATAATTACTTCATCGAGCCATATAATTTACCTCTCTTCACAGGTTGACTCGACGGGGACAGCTAGCAGGCGCACTTTGGGCTCCACGTGTACAGCAGTACGTTGACGACTGGGTGTTAGCTACAGAGGAGGTGATCAACGAGCTCTTCCCACACACGGAGGAGAACTACCGTGACTACCTTCGCTGGTACCTTCCTCGCACTCGTGCGCGTGTGACCTTCACTCCAGACGCCCCAGAGCCGCACGTTGCCGCTGTCACGGACGCGTATCCCACGCACCGTGACCGAGACTACTTCGTGGCGGTACGTCCAATTTGTATTACTTCTTACAATTATTTCATTTATCTTGCATAATATAGGACAACTACTGAATTTGTTATTTCCATCTTGCATAGGCTGATGCCGCACGGGATATCAGTGCCGATATCACCGCAGTCCAAGTGAGGTTGAACAGAGGTTTGCACTTGACTGACGTTGAGCAGAGGGTGACCTTCGACCGGATGCAGGAGAAGATGCGTGCGGTCATGCGCGTCTTCTCCTGTCGCAGCGCCGTGGACGTCGTACCTCCAGCTGGTCCGGTACAACCACGGCCTCGCGCGCCTACCGTCGGAGCAGGACCTCGACCTACGGCACCTATTTCGCACGGTACTGCTCAGCCCAGAGGTTTCTTAAGTTTTGTTTCTGTTTTTGTACGAAAACATCACCCCGTCGTAACTTGATGATCCATCCTCGCAGGACCTCGTTTGCCTTCGAGCGCCCCTAGCTTTGGATCAGTGCGACCTACAGCACCGGTTTCGCACGGTACAGTTCAGCCCAGATATTAGTTCATTTTTGTTTCAGCTTTTGCACGATTATGTCACCATGTTTTAACTGCACGTTTCCTCATCGCAGGACCTCGTCTGCCTTCGAGCGCGTTCGCAGGCACGACCGGCGCTTCCACGAGCTCCGCAGGGGCGTTCGCCACCTCTTCGGGCGCGTTTGCCAGCTCTTCCTCTCACGGAGCGTCGATCCCTCGCCCACACGGTACTTTACTTTTTATTAATACTGTTAAATACCTGTACGAAACTGATGGTCCTTGTCCAGCAGGATTTGCAGCCGGGATCTTCGGTACTGGGGCCTCTTCGTCTCACGCCGGTAGGACTGGTCCTACTAGCCAGTTCTACGACGACGACTTGCACGATGCAGACCACCACGACGTACTAGGCTCCTCTCAGCTTGGAGGAGCTCCAGAGGCGCACACTCAGGAGCAGCCAGAGGTCACACCTGTACAGGCAGGACGGGTTGGCCGTGCCGTACCCCCGGACCGACTCACGTACTCCCACGGGCACATTAGGGCGCAGGGTAGGAGGGACAGGGGTAAGAGGCCTCGTCAGTAGTGTTCTACCTCTTCAGTCCTTATGTGACCGTTTCTTTTGGCTTACAAACTTGTAAAGCAGTACTACTTTTGCTATTACTACTGCAGTACTACTTGTGTTTGTCTCGTCTACATAGTTCTTTTCATTCATATGGTGCTAGAACAACTTATGCTCACGACAACACACTTTCGGCGCTGCACAGTAGTGTCAGATCCAGTAGCGCGCACAGTCCACAACAGCACACATGAAAAGCGGCAGCTCGAGTTATCACTATCAACTTTCGGCGCTGCCTGTTTACATAAAGTGAATCACGCCCACGCGTGATCGTCTTGTCACATCTAATGAATAATGTATCTCATTGAGTTCACATATATTGCAGTGAAAACGACGCTATATAATTGACAATCTGAAGGCAACCTCTTCATATTTTCTTTCCCACTAGCACACAACACACGAAAATGGAAGCCTATTCATTGGTAATACGTAATCTAGATTTGAGATTATGTAGAACATTCTTCACTACAATTTTACATTTTGGCAGCAAACCAAATATGATCAAATGCAATTTTACCTTACCAAATATTTGGTCGTGAAGAAAAATTTGGCACTAACAATCCAAATATGCCCTAAAAATTAATAAAATATTTGTACGGTAACAAAATATTTGTACGGTAACAATCCAAATATGCCCTAAAAAATAATAAAATTGTATTTTACCAGTCTTGGAGATTTTAATCTTGTATAGTTTTCAATATAAAAAGATTTGATAACTATTGATATTTATACAAAAATATAGAGCACAGTATAAAATCGCCCTAGCGGAGGGCGGCGGCAAGGGGGCCGCCTGCAAAATTCCATGCCCCCCCTCGCCGCCCATTTGCAGGCGGCCCCCCGCACAGTACAAAATCGCCCTCGCGGAGGGCGGCAAGGGGGCCGCCTGCAAAATTCCATGCCCCCCCTCGCCGCCCATTTGCAGGCGGCCCCCCGCACAGTACAAAATCGCCCTCGCGGAGGGCGGCAAGGGGGCCGCCTGCAAATTTCGTTGACGGCCGTCGCCCGAGAGCGAACGGCCGTCTGCCACGTCATTTTCGCCGCCCTCTGGGAGGGAAAAATCGCCCTCCCAGAGGGCGGTAGGCGACTACTTCCGTCAATTTTCAAAATGGAAAATTATTTTTGTAAAACTTTTAATAAAAAAAATTAAAAATAAAAAAAATTCTCTCGGCGGCCGGCACGGCCCGAAGAGGCCCGACATGTCTTTGGGCCGTGCTTGGGCCTTCTCTTCTCCACCTCGGCCTGGTACGGCCCGTTCTAGCACGAAGCACGATGGGCTGGGCCGTGCGAGCCCTGCACGGCCCAAGTCCTAGCTCTATATGGATGTGTTTTAACTGTCTATAAGATAGTTTTATAGTAGTGTGGACAAGTTATATGTATTTCTGGAGCATATTTCATCGTAGTACTCCCTCTTTTCAAAAGTCAAAGTCCTATTTTTTTCGTTTCTCAAAAATCTAAATCCTATTTATAGTTACTGTATGCTATATTAAATTTTTAATCGGAACCCTAAGAAGTTATTTTAGTACTTATTGGTTGCATATTCGTTGGTTTTGTCACATGATAAATGAGTTAAATACACTTTGATGTTGGTCTAAAAGAAATACTCCCTCCATTTCAAGTTATAAGTCGTTTTGACTTTGGTCAAAGTCATATATTAATATTTATAATATTAAATATTTATAAACAGATATATTAATATTTATAATATTAAATTAGTTTCATTAAATTAATAATTGAATATATTTTTATAATAAATTTATTTTGGGTTAAAAATGTTAGTATTTTTTTCTATAAAATTGGTTAAACTTAAAACAGTTTGATTTTGACTCTAAGACGTTCTGTAACCTGAAACGGAGGGAGTAGGACTTATTTTTGGAAGGAGGGAGTACATACGAATTACAATTGAACGGGCATCGTCTCGAATAAAAAAAATAGTCAATCTTTTACACTAAAAATTATATGAACTTATAATGTAATTATACTTTAAATTTCACTAGTTACACACTAAATTTTCACAATTACACGATAGCTCGTAAGCAGCACGTCGCCGCCCGTAAGCAGCACGTCGCCGCCCGTTGGACGACACGTTGGAGCAGCAAAGATGTGCATGGACGCCACGTACGGCCGAACGAGCAAGCACACCAAACCTCACACCCATCATCCACACGAGAAGTTTAGGCGACGCGTCGTTTTCTCGTGGATCTCATCACAACCATTATCTAAGCTGGAGTATCTTCTTCCTCTTCTCCGTTGACCGTCCACGCTATACATCTTAAATCAGCCTAGGAAGTCGCTAGAGCGCATCATCAATCACCGATCGATCATCTCTCTCAAGTCCAAGCTTGCTCATCGTACGTATCATCCATCCATGGCGATGCCGTGGGAGCTCGCCGAGTACCTGATGGCCGTCACCTGGGTGGCGCTCGGCCGGTGGGTGGCGGCGTGTGTCTCCCTCGCCGACGGGATCGCCTGCTCGCTGCGCTGCCGCCGCCGCCGCCGCCGCCCCTCGCCGGCCTCATCCACTGTCGTCGTGTCGACATTTCTGTAGCTAGCCTTTGATTGCAAAGCTCTGTAGGTCTGAGGTCTCGTGAGGCTGTGTGGTAGTATATATGTAAAACTTGCATGTACTCTTCCCTTTTTTATCGAAGAGACCGCGGGTCAATTTGCTGGGATTTGTTGGCCTCTTTTCTGAACATTTACTATTGAGTTCGTTTCTTTTTTTTTTCTTTTTTTTTGGGAGAGGGGGAGGGAGGGGGTTGGTAATGACATGTGAGTTTGTTCCTGTACTGAATATTCTTTCCACGCGCGTTTCGTTAACAAAGAAAGATGATGGCCAAATTTACGATTTATTATTAAAGGAACTTTAAATAATAATTAGTATAAAATTTCTGAATAAGAGAATGAATTTTTAAGCAAGAAAAATGATCAAACGGAGGGAGTATTAGTTTGACTTATGACTGTGCTCTACGACCTAGAGAAGGTCCTCCTAAGAACAAATTTAATAATACAACCAACTATATGAGCTTGTAATTAAGTCATAACTTATAAGTTATATTAGAGTTAAATGTATATGCATTTAATATATTTATCTTAAAATATATAAACAATTATATTTAATATATTTATCTTGAAATATATGTACAGATAGCTCTTGCAAGAAAAACGGACGTTTTTCATTTTTCAAATTATCACCTCACCACGCTTGAGAAGGCCCCATCATGCCTACTATTTGAACTTGCTCTAATTTAACATGTCATGTCATATCGTATTGAATGTTTGAAAAATGTATGGGTATTAAATATAGATAAAAAAAATTACACACCGTCCGTCAGGAAATTATGAGACAAATATTTTAAGTCTAATTATTTCATAATTTGATAATGTGACGCTACACTAAATATTTACTAATAAATGATTAATTACGCTTAATAAATTCGTCTCATGGTTTCCTTGCGGAATCTGAAATATGTATTTTGTTTTGTTATTAAATATATGTGTCCGTATATCCGATGTGACATGCATGAGTAAAATAAATTTTTTTGCCAACAAAATGGGCCCTTAAAGAACGGGAATAAGTTCACTTTTGGTCCCTCTATTTGTCGCCCAGTCCGATTTTCGTCCCTTGGCTGCAAAACCGGATACAGTGCATCCCTCAACTTACAAAACCGTACAGAAAAGGTCCCTCGACAGTATTGTGCCCGGTTTTGGATGACGTGGTGCCTACGTGGCTCCCTTTGACTAGGTCCTCGTCCCACGTGGCATTGACGTGGCGCTTACGTGGCATTTGGATCTAGGGAAAATAATAAAAAACCATGGACCCACATGTCAGCTACACAAAAATAATTTTAAAAAAGGTGGGACCCACGTGATCCCACATGTCAGCCTCCCTCTTCTCTCTATCCCCTCTCTCTCCCCCCTACACGGCAAGAAGTGTGAGCGGCAGCGGGCGGCGGGCGGAGGGCGGAGCGGCGGCGTGCGGTGGGCGGAGCGACGGCCGGCGGCGGGCGGAGGGCGGACCAGAGGGGTGGCGGCGCGCGGTGCGATAACGGGCGGTAGGTGGCGTGGCGAGAGCGCTGCCAGGGAGGAGGCGAGCTCGTCGGGGCGGCTGGCGGGAGAGGAGGCAGCACGCGCTGTCTGACGGGAGGGAGGGAAGAGTAGCGGATCCCCGTCTCCTCCCTCTGCAATCTAGTGAAGAACTCGATGGCGGGGCGCCGTGAGTGCGGCTCGACGGCGACGGGCGGAGGAAGAGGTGCACCGGGCGGCGGCCAGCGACCGTCTCGCCCCTCTTGCTGGCGATGCGTCGCGTCGGCCAGCCGCGCCACGCACGCACCTTTACCCCACTGCTGTGGTGTCGTTCCCTCACCACTGCCGCGCTCTGCTTCGGCCGCCGCCGCTCTGACCGGTGCCAATCCTCCGCCACCAGTCCCCAATCCACCACGATACCACCACCACCGAGTTCCCCATCCCGGTGCGACTCCATTCCACCCAAAGCAAGGTGTTGAGGTGGAGCGGCGACGGCCTTCCATGCTGTGGTCAGGTCGCAGCTCACCTCGGCAGCTTGCAGCCTTCCCTTCTCTTGCAGGAGTTACGGGAGTGCCAGCACCTGGATTCCACTACCGTTGCTGCCTCCGCCTCCGCCACCGGCAGCGGAAGTCCGGACATCGAGGGCATGGCGCAGGCCGACTTCTTCTTCGGCCCCGAGTTGGATGACTTGATGCAGCAGCTAGGTGACGGTGACACCGGGCAGAAGGGCATGCTGCCAGCCTCGTCGTCGTTGCCATCCGGCGTGCAGCGGCGCAAAGCCGGCGGGGCGGGGCGGAGCGGGCGGATGGCGGCGCCTAGAAGAACGGGACGGAGTGGGGCATCGGCGGGCAGAGTCGCAGAGAGGGGAGACGGGGAGAAAGAAGAGGTGGCGGTGAGAATGACATGCGGGGCCCACGTGGGCCCCACCATTTTTTATTAATTTGTGTGTGAAACTGACATGTGGGTCCCACGGGATTTAATATTTTTTGGGGATCCAATTGCCACGTAAACGTCACGTCAATGACACGTGGGACGAGGACCTAGTCAAAAGAGCCATGTAAGCGCCACGTCGGTCAAAACCACCCTCTATGCTGCCGAGGGACCTTGTTTGTCTGCCGGGGGACGGGTAGTATCCGGTTTTGCGACCAAGGGACGAAAATCGGACTGGGCGACAAATAGAGAGACCTAAAGTGAACTTATTCCTAAAGAACGCCCCATCTCATCTACTTGCATCGCCGGCTTTGAGAACAACGGGCCCATTATAGTCCGAGTGCCCAGCTCAACGAAGGCCGAAAGGCCCAAAAGGATGGGATGTATCAGCCGTCGAATCTGATCGAATGTCCGAGATTCCTCGCGATCGAAAAAGTCAAGCCGCCGGCCCGTCCAAACACGATAGCTAATTCGCGCGCCCAGAAGGCCCAGCGCCGGCGTTGCTGGCCCGCGCGTCTCCTCCCTCGTCTTTTTTTTCGTTTTTTTTACCGAATTTTTTCGGTTTTTTCTCACTTTTTTCTGATTATTTTTTTAATCTTTAGCATGTTTTGAGTTGAAAGTTTTTAAATTTTAAGTTGAAAATTTTTAAATCTCGATTTGAAAGTTTTCAAATCTCGAGTTGAAAGTTTTTAAATCTTGAGTTGAAAGTTTTCAAATATGAGTTGAAAGTTTTCAAAACTCGATTTGTAAGTTTTCAAATCTGAGTTGAAAGTTTTCAAAATTGTTCTTGCAAATTGAAAATTTTTAAAGTTTGATTTAAAAGTTTTTAAAAATTGACTCTAAAGTTTTAATCTTAAATTAAAAGTTTTTAAAGTTTAAATATTAAGTCAAAAGTTTTAAAATGTAACTTAAATTTTTTCAATCCATTAGTAAAAAAGAATTAAAAAAATAAAAATTCTTTCTTTAATTACTGTCATTATTTTTAATGACTAATATAGTTAGTTACTGTCATTATCGCTAACCATCCGCCGTGTGCGCGTTAGGAAGGCCCCAGTCCAAAGTCCAATAATCCTGACCGTCTCATTCGTCCCCGATTTCGCCGGCCGCAAATTGAGCGAGAGTAGCCGGCGGTAAGTTGCGGTGCTGTTTGCTGTCCACATATGTGAGCAGGTACAATATTATATATTTCGAGAAGATAAATAAGAAGAGAGATAAGCAGCGGACTATAAAATTATAGTTAGGGCAGTCCCAACCCATAACACTAGACATGGTTTCCATAAACTCCACATCATCAAGAAACTAGTACTAGACACTATTCTTCCAATGCAAACACCACTATTCCATACTTCAATTCAATGCTACTTATCTCACATGATGTCTTGAATGTTGTGTAGAAACCATGTCTCATGCAAGACAGGGTTTCCTTCTCTTTCCTCGTTTATTCACTTGCCACATCATTTTTGTCCTAGGTGGCAACTTATTTAATGCTATGCATACCATCTTAGTTATTGGGTTGGGAATGCCCTTAGGTGCCGCACGAATTACAGGATATAATGTACTAGCTTCGTTTTAGGTTATAAGATTTTCTAGCATTGTCCACATTTATATAGATATTAATGAATCTAGACACACATATATGTGTCTAGAATCATTAACATATATATGAATATGGACAATGCTAGAAAGTTTTATAAATGAAACGGAGGAAGTATGTATGACAGATGGAACCATGTATTAATATTGTACTATATGTTTATAGATAACTATTGTATGAATTGGCTATTAAATTGACTGTAGATGATTTAGAGCTAATAGTTGACTATACTATTAAACTTGCTATAACGATGACTATAGCCGAAACTGCTATTTTGTCACACCCTGAAAATCGCTAAATTATAAAACGTTGTGAAAAAGGAATTTTTAGAAATTATTTAATGATTAAAGCAAGTGTGAATAAAATCTATGAAAATTTTGAACATTAAGTTGATATAGATAAAATTGTATTAAATATTTTTAATGTCCAAGTATTTTCTGGATTTTTCCTAGAATTATTTGAGCATTGGAAGTATTTTTGATAAATGAAAGATCATTCAGTGATTAATTTAATTGGAAAAGTAATTAATAATTCTTTCTTTTTCCTCATCTGGTTGTGAATCATTCCCAGTTCACCCTCTCTGTCCACGGTTCGTCGTATCCGCCGACCCCTTTCGCCACCGCGGTTTCGTTTTGTATGACGAGCCGAGTCCTATTCTCTTTCTGGTTCCGTTTCCTCTTCCTTTCCCAAAACGACACCGCGTCTGTTTCCCCCACCTTTCCTTTCTAGGCAACCCCTCCTCCCGTATCTTTTTTCCCCTCCCCCTCTCGGGCTCCTCCCACCGTGCGCCTCTCCCCCCTCCCAGCTGTGCGCCGCTCCCCCTCTGCCGTGCCTCCCTTGGCCTCACCTAATCCTATTCAATCTTCCCCTATATAAGCCATCATCTCCCCTCCTGTTTCCTGTTCTTTTTGTGTTGCAGCCGCCCCTAGCCTCCTCCTCCAACACCCTAGCCGCCGCCGCCCTAGTCGCCGCTGCCGCTAGCCGTCACCCCTCGCCGTCGTCATCTTGGTCGTCGCCATCGTCTTCTCCGGTGAGCTCTCCTCTCTCCCGTGTCGTTTACCGGTGTAGTTCATCCCTAGGGATTTAATCTAATATAATCTAATCTGTTATTTGGCCCTAGCGTCGTCATCGTCGACCCTCCCTCTCCGGTCGCTTTGGTTCGGTGAGACTTCTATCCGTGTCCCCTCGGGTTAGGTTTCAATCCCTCGGTCGTGTCACCGCCGCTGTTGCTCTAACCCTAGCGCAGCCGTTGCTGTGTCGCTAGCTGCTGCCCTAGCGTCGCCGCTGCGCTAGCTGCCTTGTTGCCGCCGTGTCGCTGTTTAGTCGTTGTACGTCGCCGTCGCGCTGCTGCTGTATGTGTGCCACCGCAACCGCTGTTGTGCCGCTGCCGTGTGTCAATCCAAGCCATTCGATCTTGGTCGACTCGGTCGAGATTAATCTCAGCCGTCCAAAATCGATATAAATCCGTTCTTTCTTTTCAATGGCATATTATTCCTTTTTAATATATGTCATCTACCAAATATGATCTAATCTATTTCCGGAGGATGTTTTAATCTTTTGTCTCAGCTATAAGTCATTTGTAAATTGTTTAATCAATTCGGAATAGTCTTTTCTTTAAAAGGTTTAATTGGAATTAAATCTTGTAAAATTCATATCTAATTCATACGAACTCGGAATGAGGTCGTTCAAGTCTCATAATTCATCTAAATTCAAGTTCTACCTATTTATGAACTTTAATTGTACTTTTTATTTGGTTTTTATTAGTGTTTTTCTCGTTTTGCGTTCTAGGTTTAGTTTTCCGTTGTTTCAGAGGATCGTTCGTTCGTTGGAGAAGTTCCTGATGACGAATTGAAGACGCTTGTTTGCAAGGCAAGTCACACAGATACCAAACAACCCTTTGAGCATGTTGAACCCGTTTAAAGCTATTGTTTTATTTTAACTTATGCATTATTTTCGAATGTCATCGGGTGGTGAGCCTTTCCCATTTAATTATGGCCGAAGATGACTTTATTTTCCTATGGGTTATAATTTGATTAGCTAGAACCTTATATATTGGTTTGGTTCAGCTAAATGCTATATATATTTAATTGCTTAGCCATGCTTAGAAACATTAGCTCATTAATGGGAATCATATATACTACATTATTATTTATGGTTATAATTAATGGTAGCTCACGATGGTCAATCGTGTTATGATAATTAATTGATAATTAATATATGATTAATGGTGGGTTGTGAGCACATGGTTTTGAAGGTCGTGCTCATAGCAATTAAGGACCGGTTCGTGAGCTACTGTTGTGAAACAATAACCGTACCAACCACAAGCCAGCGTGGGCAACGGCTTTATCTTTTGTATAGCATGATTCATTATAGTGTGCCAGACTGTGAAGCGGCGAGAAGTCCGTGGGGGTCGCTAGGGAGTCCATTGCCTCTGGTTTTGAGGGGGGAGATTATGATCCAGGAACAGTGCACTGTGGTGAGTTGTGTTGTGCAAAGGGTACTGTCACGATTTCCCCCTTTGCAGTGCCGTGGAGGTACTTCGGGGCATGGCAACATGTGTGGAATCGTGTCTTGTGGGTACAGTGGTACATCTCTGGCTAGAGTAAAACTATTCGAATAGTCGTGCCCGCGGTTATGGGCGAGTTGAGCAATGTTTTTCGTGATTAGTCTCACACTACTCATTAATGGTAATAATGTGATAATTAATTTGACTCCTGGTTTGGAATGGTAAATTCCTGGTTTGGAGGTTTGATCTGTACGACCGGGGTTGGTTGTTCAGGTTTGGTTGGGCCTGAGCAGCATGGGTGTGCTGTTCAGTGTTGATTAATATTGATGATCAATTACTCTATTGTTTTACTACTCTTAAATCTCTGCTAAATGCTGCTTTCACAAATGAACCCTATATTATGCCATCCTTTGGTATCCTTGTACACTTGCATATTTGCTGTGTGGCTTGTTGAGTATGTCATATGCTCATTCTTGCAATAATCATCAAACCTCAGTTGAAGAAAAAGGATCCGGAAGGAGAAGACGTTTGGCTTAGATCCCAGTTGAGCTGCCTGTGGGAGTGGAGCTGAAGCTTCGCTAGATTTTATTTTCCGCTGTAGTTTTCTTCATGGTGAGTACTAAGTGCCTCTTATGTAAGTATTTATCGTTTTAGTTATTTTGATGAATATGTGTATTAAATTGTCAGTTTGTGTACCTCGGCTGATTCCTAGACGAGGGTTTTAATGCACAAATTAGTTTGGAAATTACATGTGAATTTCTGGGCGTGACATATTTCGCGGCTAGTCCCGCACGCCCTCCCCAAGTGACTGCACACACGGCGCGTGCGGAGAGAAGGGCGGTGGACATCCGCGCTTTTCTTTTTTTTTCCTTTTTTTTTGTCCATTCCTTTTTCATTTTTTTGGTTTATTGGGGTTTGTTATACAAACTAGGTATATACACATACACTATGATGACCACTTTGCCCCTTGTTATGTCTTTGCCAGCGTGTATACTTTTTTTTATATTTTATACATACATACATATACAAATTTAATTTTGTATACATGTATATATATATATATATTCTCTATATATCAAAAGTGTATGCGTGTATATATAAAAAATGTACAAAGTTTACACATATATTTTATTGTCTATATACGTATGTTAACATAACTTATATACATACGTATAAACTTTGTATTATATATACATGTATGTAAACTTGGTATTGTATATATGTACGTACGTACAAAATTTATATACACACAAAGTTTATATGTATCTATTTAAGGTACACGTACAATTCACTACTACGAAAGAGAAGCAAGCAAAAACTATAGCTCTAGTCTTCACCGGTTACCAGCCGAGCTCACAAAATCTACAACGACGAGAGCAGCGGCAGCCTTTGAAGACGAGTCGGCGCTCCAGATCTCTAACTCCAGAGGCCTGCCATCGCTGCTCCAGACCGTTGTCTCCGTCAGCCACGTCGTCGATTGATGTCGTCTCCGCCGATGCGTCGTGGTCGCCACCTCTGAATACGAGTGCCGCTCGAGATCGCCCTCTCCGCCGATGCTGCTCGTGCTTGCGCCCGTTGTGCCAGATCCAGAATGGAATGGGTATTTTTCTTTGTAAAATGGACTACGTATGTGAAGAAGAGAGTTGTGGAGGGGTCTTTTATAAAACGTAAGTGTGGGAGGCGGGCGGCTAACTGAAAAAGTACCACACTCGAGTATTGGGCGTAGGATGTTGATCCAATGGCTCTGGATGCTTGTGTGCATGAGTGCATTTACCTAGCTATGTGCATAGGATATGTGCATAGGATACATTGCCTTATTTTCTACCATAAAAAAATAAAAAATTGAAAGGCCCACGTTCCACCCCTTTAGACCTGTACGTGTAGTACGCACGCCATGCTACTATATTGGCGTCTCTCCTGTTTTAATGATTGATGTATTTGATTGAAAATATATTATATGACTATACGATCTAAACTTACATAGCTATTTTTATAGACGTACATTAGATCTTTGTTGCATAATTCAAGACCCAAATTAACTATATTTAACAAGTAGAAAAAACGTAATTAACTATATTTAACAAGTAGAAAAAAAACGTAATTAACTATATTTAACAAGTAGAAAAAAACGTAATTAACTATATTTAACAAGTAGAAAAAAATCCGTAACATTTGATTAGCTATTGGTCACTCGAGACACAATTTTAAGGGAAAAAGCATAAAGAGTTTTAAACACCTGACTAAGAGATATTAGAACAATATTAAACATAAAAAAATAATTAATAAGATTTAAATAACAAGTAGTAGAAGAAATACATTATTTTGGTTCGCTAAGATTATATTTGCGTTTAAATATAGATAACTTAAAACGGTGAGTCCATTAATTGGATCTATCTCAATCTATCTGTAGCCTCATATCAAATATAATCTACCCGTTAATAAACAATGATAATCAATATCAATCTTTACTTGCTTGTAGATAAAAGATTATTGGATTCTTTTTTTTAAAAAAAATTGATACATAGGGTGTAATCGCTGTCACTATTTATGATATTGTAAAATTTGAACAAAAAATAAGATTTGTACAAAATACAATAGAAAATAGAAAAATATGCAATGAGTGTAAATTGAACCAATTGTAGAAATTCTTATAATTTCATAGAACCATTATGGTTCTTAATTTGCACTTAAATTGAGACAAGCATTATCATAACTAACACATTATTTTTAAGTGATTACATATTAATGGTTTTCCCTTTATTGTATAGTTAGTTTTAAATATTATATTTTTACTATTAAATTTAAATTAACACTTAGGTCAACAAGATATCTTTAAAAATGCTATAGCTCACATGTATTATAAGGAAACGAGGGCTAGAATATATGTATCTATTCTACTTTTAATGATTCATATGTAAGTACGTATAATAAATTGCGTCAAATGTAAACCAATCAAATGGAGGGTTTTTATGGTACGAATAAAAACACATTTATTAGCAATAACTGTTTTTCAAGATATGTTAAAGAAAACCAAAACATTCATTTAAAAAAAAGAAAAACCAACTTCTTTTAATTCACACTTTATTTATTAGACATGTTTTCTGAACAAACTAAGTCTACATCTTTTATATGATGAAGAAGATTAGGATTATAGATAAGTGCTTATATAGATGAATTAAATTTTACATAATATAAAACTAACAAATATCTTAGAAAAAAAATTTAAGCAACGATATATGCATGCTCGGGCGAATGTTCGGGCTACCTTCCTAGCTTAAGCAAGAGTGTTCTTTGTTATAGAAAAGGTTCAGCAACGATTACAATAATCCAAACATGAAATGAATTTTCAATTGATAAAAAAATATGAAATTAAATGAAAAAAAAAACTGCAGTTGAAACAAACAAAATTGCACATTAGATCACAATGTAATTTTTTGCTTAGTTGGCTTAGTTACAATAATCCACAAATTTTCAGATGTCTGAAGTCTAATAAATACAAAATTATAAAAATGACATCACGCATGTTCAAGCAGATATGAATCGAATTAACTAAATATTACATCAAGAGACAAACACTGCATAATCTTCATCATTACCGAGGGTACCTTGAAGATAGCAGGTACTCTACTTCCAAACTATACTGTCGACTTGCTTCCTCATTGCCTGTTCCCTCCCTTGTTGGATAATTCTCTTCTGCAACATGCCTAATTCTACGAGATTCTGTTGCAATCAAGCCCGTGGTATGCTCCTGCAACGACCCTCCAAGACTTTCCAAGGACATCTCCACTTGTCTCATAGTCGGCCGTTCTTCAGCTTCCAGCTTTACACATACGGCAGCCAAAGCCGCTACTTCCATCATTCGCTTCCCTCCCTCCTCTATGATTTGAGGATCAAGTATGTCAACCAAGTTACTGTCAGCTAGTAGGGACGTGAAATGTGCAACCAAACTATCTCCCTCAGGTGATCTATATGAAAACGGTTTCTTTCTGGTAAGCAACTCTATTAGAATGACGCCAAAGCTATATACGTCACTTTTCTCCGTAAGCCTTCCTGTGTAGTAATACATGGGGTCTAAGTATCCACGTGTTCCTTGGACAACTGTTGTAACTCCTGATTGATCCACTGGAATGCATCTTGAAGCTCCAAAATCTGATACCTTCGTTGTAAAGGTGCTATCCAAAAGAATATTATGAGACTTGATATCCCTATGGATAATAGGGAATGCAACAGCCCAGTGAAGATAGGCAAGAGCTCTAGCTGTTTCAGTTGCTATCCTCAACCTATCCTCCCATGACAATGATATTGGTCCATCAACATGAAGATGTTCATATAGAGTTCCATTTGATATGAATTCATAGACAAGAAGTGGCACTTTTGTCTCAAGACAACAACCGAAAAGCTTCACAACATTCCGATGGTTTATTTGCGATAGAATGGCAACCTCGTTTATGAACTCATCAATTTCTCTTTGGATTGCTTCTTTGGATTTCTTGATTGCCACGATATGCAAGTCTGATAAAATCCCCTTGTAAACAGTACCATGCCCTCCTCCACCGAGCTCTCGGGATTTGTCAAAATTATTAGTTGCCTTCTCTAGCTCTACTAAGGGCAATATCATTCTTTCAGCAATGTCTGCCCTCTGAGATATCAATTGCTCCAGTAAATGACCACGGTTCTGCTTGAAAAACTTTTGTTTCACCCTTTTTGCCCTTCGGTGCTTAATCTCACGGGTTGCCAATCTAGCACCAAATACCAGGAACAGAAGGCCCGCGCCACTGCCAACTCCTATGCCAACACTTAAACCTGATAACGTGGGAGTATGAGATTTGGCTTAGATCACAACACGAAGATATTTATTAGAATATCAATCAAAGGAAAAAACGAAAAGGACAGAAACTTTTTCATCAACATACGTACATGCCAATAGTTGTGTTTTAGTACTAAATTTTAGGAAAGAAACATAAATTCCATGCCATGTTTTAAGGAGACTATTAAATAGCCCACGCATTGCAACGGATTCTTTTTATAGACAAAGGTAAATTTCTAGCAATGGTAAGTCAACTACGCAAATAACACTAACTTTCTTATTATACAAACACTTGATTAGTCTACGATATTGGAGTAGTGCAGTGGGTCCAAATCGTGTCCACCATTTTGATCCAGGCTATACATATTGTTTTTTTTTAAAAAAAAAGAAATACTGACCACCAATGGGTTCGGTACTTGGGTGGGAATGGGTTGAATTGGGATTCTAATCTGCATTTACTTTAATTTTGGATCGGTGGAAATGGCCTGCTACTACAAATGGTTTGGATCGGTCGGTCCACAGAGAAAATGGAATGGTGCGGGGTGGTGTTCTGGCACTACACCATGACCTAGTATTCATGGCACTTAACTGCCGGTAATAAAATGAAGTTAGTGGCAAACTATTTGCCGGGAATATATCAAGTGCCGGAAATAATATTGTACATCATCTCATCTGCCGGGAATTAAAAAAATAGGGCAGCAAATTAAGTGCCGGCAATAAACTAATATAGCAGGTCAACTAATCTGCCATTGATAATTTAAGATAACATATAATCTGCCGGGAATTTTGTTACCGGGAAAACAAATTTGGAGGAAATTTTTTGCGGGCTAAAAATATCGGCGGGCCCAGCAAGGCGCCAAGGTTGCAGAAATTTTCGTGGGCCCACACAAAAAATCCATCGCGTCGTCACCATCGTCGCACAAAAATCCCCATCTGCGCGGGCGCGATTCACCCAGGCCACACCGCCGCCTCCACCCACGCTGCACGCCGCCGTTGACTCCGCCCACCGGCGTCCTGCGCCCCTGCGCCCGGCCGATTCCTCCTCCTCCTTCTGTCCGTCCGCCGCCGTCCGTCCGTCGCCTGCTGACGCCTCCCCTCCTCGGCCATCGACTCCGCCCGCCGGCTTCCGCTGTGGGCTCCTCCCGTTGCTGGGCTGGAGGATCGGGATGGTAGCGGCGGCGGCGACGGCGCTCAACGCCCTCGTGGCGCTCGGATCCGCCTCGGGGACGGCGTCCAAGTCGTCCTTCGTGAAATCCATCGTCAAAGCCCACGATGTCGTCATCTTCTCCAAGTCATACTGCCCCCCCCCCCCCCCAACTCCTCTCATCTATCCTCTGTGCATTCCACTGTACTGCTTGCGCTTAGCTTGCTGGGAATTTCGATTTGGGATGTAGTCGCCAATATCATCTACTATGCATTTAGCTGATCTAGTTGGGAATTTCGATTTTGGATCTAGTCGCTGTGAAGTTGAGTGGACCTAATCGTGAATTTGTAGAAAATCTTGGAGAATTCTTACTGATTTTGTTCTATATCCATCGAAGAACTATCTTTTCGTTGCGAATTTTAGGAGAGATACATGGCCTACTGGTCCTGGCTTGTAACGCTGTACATGTGAGTTTGGGCACTAATCCTCTTTTGCTCGATGAGTTTTTTTGTTTGATTTTTAACCCAAAAATTTGGACCATATGAAACTGTCAGAGTAGATAATGGTTGCCTGGTTGGTATTGGATTAAAATGGGGAATGGCAAGGAATTGAGGTCATATGACCTTGTGTGGTGATCCAAGTTTTTTCTCCCCTGCATTCTGTGTGTGCTGTACACACCTATCTAATTATTTGATCAATTACAGATTTACTCCTTTTTATGTAGGCTAGTTGATTGAATTGATGTGCAAAGTATTGATTAGCAGTAAGTTTCAGAGCTTTCAGGATTTTGTTTTGTATAAGAGAGTTGTGGGGGTGATTCTTGCTCTATCCTATGAGAACTTACTGGATCAGAATTTTGGAGTTTCAGGTTAAGTTGCTATTAATGCTTGTGAAGAGTAGATAGCTATATGGAATGTCAGATGATGAGTAATGAATGTACAAAAACAATACCTTTGTAAAAAACCTTGCCTATAACATGAACTACATTTCTGACGCTGTTTATGTCAAATTAACCACATGGACTAGTTTAGTTACCTAGAACATTTTATCCAACATGAAACCTTTTGGGAGGTTATGTTGTCATGTGCTACAGTGACAAGGGCATATGGAACTAGAACCATTAGTGATCTGATGATTTCCCATCTCACACTATCCTTGTGATATTATGTTGTCTGCTGGATTCACTGTTAACTTGGAGTATTCCCTATTGGTGTTGCATGACGAAGTGCCCTCAATAATATACATTGATTGCATATGTAGCTATTTTGTTTATTTGAACCTAGCCAGTTTGCATGGTCTCGTCAGTTTGTGATCAAGAATGTATTTATATTATGATAGATAGTTCTTTATATTCTACATGCAAGATTGCTCACAGATTCCAAACCATTATTTTTAGGTCAAAATCGGAAGGGCTGCTGAAATTGTTCTGCTAAAGATGTCACTTGTCCCAGAAATTGTCCATTGAAGAGTTTTTTGCTGATGCTCTTGTAGACTTGTCCATTAAAGATGTCACTTGTCCTAGAAATTGTCCAATGAAGAAATTGTCCATTGTCCATTGAAGACTTGTCTGTACTCTTGTGTGCATATGCTCTATGCAGATGCATATATATATTGCTATCCTAGGTGCAACAGAACTGTTTTTTTTTTTACCTGAGATGCAACAGATGTTGAATGCATATTGATAGTCTATGGAGTCTTGAATTGCTGAATGTGTGTTAAATGTCTATGGAATTTGTACTGATTTTGTGGGTTGATTTGGTACTGATCTTAATTTGTGTACATTGGATCCATGTGTACTGAGTTCATGATTGAAACAACCAAGTGCTGGTAAAAGTACTGACTGACAGACTATATGTGAGGGATGCTTTAAGCATCAAGGGCAGTTAATTGCCATGGATGCAGCTGTCTGCCGGGAATACTCTAGTGATTCTAGGGCAGTTAATTGCCAGGAAAAAAATATCTGCCGGGAATTCTCTTTTGCTACAGAACTTTATAGGGCAGTTTTTAAGTGCCGGGAATAGTTTTCCCGGCAAATGAATTGCCATTCAATGCACTTATCTAGGGCAGTTGCAATGAAGGGAATACTAGGTCATGGTATAGTGTGGACATCTCTCGATGAGAAACTGACGTGGGATATTTTCATACACAACCGGGGTAGGGTATCATGAGTTTGGATTAATGATACCTAATTATTGTATGTTATCTAATTGTTTATAATAAAATAAAGCTTACATCTTATGTAATAATTGGAGTTGTATTTAGAAAAAAAAAGATTAGTATTATCTTTGAGGATTTGGATGTGCAGAATGGATAACAATGTCACGCGTGATTATGAGCTAAAGGGAGGTGAACGGATGAGTAATCAATGATTAAATTAGATGGATGAGTAGCTAGCTTCTTGATCCAACGGCTGATAATTCTATACTAATGCGATCCGATGGCTTAAAATTGTTAATGATTTGGCTACTTGCATGTCTTGCTTTATAGGAGTAAATGGTTCTTAGTGGGCACCAACTATCAAAAGATTTCAAATGTAACTTAAAATTTTTCTATCTACTAGTAAAAATAATATCAAAAACAATCTTTCCTTAATTAATGTCATTATCCTTAGCTAACATAGTTAGTTACGTTAAACACGCTAAAAAAAATCCCGATCTAATAGCGCCGGCGGCACCGCGCGTATGCGTGGGCCATGTGGGCCAGAAGTGCGCGCCCGAGGCGCATACGCGCGAATTAGGAATTCTGCAATTTTATCCTCTGAACATCAAGCGCTGCGAGTGCAGTCTAATTTTCTCAAAACTTTGGATCCAAACATATAATAAACTAGGTGAAACCTCGTGCGTTGCTGTAGGAATTCAGTATGATAACAATAAGTAAAAATAATGTATAAGATAGCTAGACAATATAAACTTACATAAACACTAAAAACAATTGATCTGATATAGCTTAATTAGAGAAGAGAGAAATAATATTAACCAAGTGAGGATGAACTACATATGTACATAATATATTATAAAAAATAATGAAGATATATATTGAAATATTATGTGAATTATGAAGGATGATGATTTAACATGCTTTCATTATAAAAGCTCTAAAATGTAATAAATTTTAAATTATAAATAATATAGCATGTTTGCATGATATTTAATGTATTGATTGTTAGTGGATGATGATGTGTCAACTGGTTAGTAGATGATGACGTGGCATCTTTGAATGCTAAGCTTTAGGAGACAGTGGGTTATAACTTTATAGTAAGATAGGATTCCCCCAAGTAATCCTCGCAAAAACAAGCTCGCACGCCAGTCGCCATCCCCTAGTTTCACCCCAATTTCCCCACGGCAACCGACGCTGTCATCGTCCGCGAGGCGCTGCATGCGGCACTGACTACCACTTGGCCGCAGAGTTGGCCGGCACATGTGCTAACTCAGCACTTCTGCATCTGGAGGTTTCCGGTGTGAGGTTGGGTGCGTGCTGGAGGTTGGTGGCTGTTTGCGGAGTGAGTTGCCGGCGAGGGTATCCTGGGGCCGTGGGGCGTCATCACTGCTAGATCTGAAGCAGATCTGGGGACGGACGGTGATGTACGACAGTGGCAAGCTGAGACCCTGCAAGTTGGTGAGATAGGTAGGGAGATGAGGATGGAGTGGCGGCGGTGGTGACTCATGGGGGTGTTGCCGGCGACGGCAGCGATCAGGGATATCGTCACATGGGATGGTGGGGATCGGCCGATTGTTGTTTCATTGACATTGTGGGGCCCAAACATCAAGGGTCACACTGAAGGCAGAACGGATTGGGTCACACTACTACAGATATTTAGGTATTATTATAAATTATACAATGATTGGAAGGTACCTCAAATACCTCCATCTGGTAAATATATGTTGACGTTGATTAGGTACTAATTTCGATCGTCAACTATCTTCATAAATAAAGGGAGAACTAACATTTCTTACATATATATTAGTATTGAATAATGTAGTTCCACTTGTATTGGAGAAATACTATGTATATGCAGGTAATATACAATAAAATGAATGAGAAACACACCTCGTGTGAATCACGTGCGAGCACACAGATCAATGGGCCCACAAGTCAGCTCAAACCAACTTAAAGTTAGGCCAAACCATCCTCAATCATCGTACGGGCCCATATGGCAATCGCTAGTGAAAGTCGAAGGAGAGAGGTAAGGGCCTATGGGTCGGCTGAACCCTTGGTTCAGCCGGACCACCCCTTGCTTCTCACATCGCCACCTTACACGCGGACATTCCTGATGGACTCCTAATGATGTTACTGGTAGTTACCGATCTACAACCGTCTTAATCAACCGTCATTGAGGGCTATAAAAGGAGGAGCTCTCTCGCTTTTTAACACACACTTCAAGAAGTAATATTCTCATTCAATATATTGTATTTTCTCTAGTAGTAGTGGAGTTATGCTTAGAATAGTCTTCGATCATATAGCATTCTCAGAGATTAGGGTATGTCTTTAATACTTTACTCTTCTTGTAAGACAATAATCGCAATAAAAGAATTATCTTCTTTACTTATTAGTGTTCATAGTTCTTATACTAATTTTCTCGTTATGTGTTCTATAAATAGTTTATACTTCATTTATATGCTTTACTTGATTAGGTTAGTCGATCTATGCTATGGTAATGGTTCAATGATCTTAACAGGTTGCACAAGTTCTAACTTGTCCATCCGAAGGGTGAAAGTCTTGGGGGAATTAGTGATATTATATATTAACATAAACATGATGCTTAGGCTAGTTAAATGCAGTTGGATGCGGGTATACCCTACAGAGAGTGAGGTAGACGGTAGATAGTGATAGCCTTGTCTGTCCATTGTATTCCTCCACATCCATGTATAACGTAAGAGTTCGTAAAATGCCATAACAACGTTGGCAGGCCAATGGAGAGTGGTCTATCGGTAGTACTTGGGTACCAAAAACTAACGGCTAGCCTTGTAAGCATGTATGTGTTAAGTGTATAATAAACATTATTAGTATAGTTGTACATATGAACCATATCTCTCTATAGTTCTTCTCCATTACCTAGCGTATCTTATTAGAGATGAATCTCCTGTGTGTCACACTAACCATATATCATATTGCCAATTAACCCCTATTTAGACTATGGTAAAGTAATGATAGTTTGATTAAGGATATATGAACTCTATATTTATACCGCCGCCTTCCATGCAGAAATATATATACGGCACCCTTGGAATACTCCTGTTGAAATGCTACAGTGGTATCTATGCGCTTGCGGATTTATATGTAATCGTAAGAAATACTGTCAGAGATCAAAACTCCTACAACAAGGAAGAGAGGACCCCCCCTCGAAGATTCGGCTAGGGGACAAGTAGAGACAAAGTTCACTTCATGTGCAGAGCCAACAAAGAACACAAGCACGTATCCACGATCAGACTGCTCGGAACGTAATACACTACTCCTTTGTTTGGGACTATGAGGATGAAAGAGTACACAATACAAGCTTACCTGATGAACTAGGGTTTCTAGAACTCTCTCTCTCTCTCTCTCAATGGTTTCTTTTGACTTCCCTCCTTTTATAACCAAAAGGGGGCCTATAGTGTCGTTATCGCATAGGGAACACCTATGCCAAGTCTTGTCATTGCCTCCTCTGTCATCCTAGAGTAAATGAGAGAATTACAATGGACGGTTGTTTCACTGTGCCTCGGGCACCCAAACATAGGGGCCTGGGACCGTTGGGACTTGCACCTTTTGCCACTTGCTCAAAACTGCGATTGGTGGACCCAAGCCAAGTCATCGTGTAGCCGCCGCTGGCTAACATGCAGCACGTTGCTCTGCTCCTGTTCCTTTGAGTGACGCAGTGCCGCTAGCGGCTTCAAACCTCGCCACCACATTATTGCATGCGACCGAGCTGTAATCTCGATTCGTAATCTTCCAGGCACCGTGCTACAATCATAATGATGATGTTGCCCTCGAACAGACCGTTGGGCCCACCATCCCACTCTGACCACCAGCGGCACTCACATGCTTGGCCCTGAAGTGGTAATCCACCAGCGGAGATCACCGCGGAGAGCCCGAGCATCGAGTACCAGCGGGTTCCCTGATAGAGATAATATATGATTTGTTTTTACCCTAAGGTTACATTAACCCCCTGGGCTTCGATGTTCTCGTGTTGTTCCCGGGGCATATGCAGTGCCCAGGTGCCCTGGTAAGACCCGGGCCTCCAGCACACTCCCGTGGTTTGTAATGGAAGTTCTTGTTATGTTGGACAAGTTTCTCGAAGATGTCATTGATGAAGGAGTTCATGATGGATATAATTCTACAAGTTTGTTCCAATACGCAATTGTATATATGAGTACCTTGAATATGTAAATCTTGTAGGTCTCCACACTCCACTTAACATTCTGAGTGTGCAACCATGAAGGGATTGAGTACCCAGGGGCCCCGGCCGGAACCGGCCTCATTCCACCTTGTAGATATAGATCTTATAGGTCACCACACTCCTCTTGTCATACAAAGTGTGTAATCATGAAGGGATTAGGTGCCTCGGGCCCCCCGGCTGGAGCGGGCCCTGTTACACCTTGTAGATATAGATCTTACTGGTCTCCACACTCCTCTTATCATATTGAGTGTGTAACCATGAAGGCCATGGGTGCCCAGGGACATCAGCGGGAGCAGGCCCCGACCCCCACGCTCTGCCAGCTGTCAGCCTCCGTTTACATGGTTTCTAACCTGGCAATAGATTCTATCATGGATCATAAGAAATACCATCTATAATACCAACTTAGTTCCCCTAAATCCATCATGAAATCTACCTTGGTCGTATATTTATTTGGTACTGTGGTTATTAATACAAATCCAATCAAATATAGAGAGGTTTTACATTAAGAAAAAAACTAAAACAACATGCAACATAGCACGGGGGAGTCGCTCCTTTAACTGGTACATGAGTAAGCAACAATTAATCATCATGGCATCACTGGTTACCATTAGTCCCCCTGCCACATGGCACCATGTCGCGTTGCCTCTAAGGGCAAACGCAGTGCATCTACCGTACTTGAGAAGCCAAAGCCACCAGCTCGGCCATGAACGGTGAAAGAAACACCCTTCATAGTGGGTCCCACCAATCTCTCCTGTCTCATTTTTCATCTTCCCTTTGCCTTTCCCCACCGGTTACCGGGAGGAGGAAGCGAGGCGTTGGACGGCCCAAGCGGCGACATGCCGGGCGGGAACGGAGATGTAGCGGGGTGGCACTACCTCTCCAGACGACGGTGCTGCCAAGCCTAAGCCGCATACGATGGTGCCGCCGAGTTCGTCGGCTATGAAACCTTGCGGCGGTTTAGGCCTAAGCTTCCGACGAGCTCCCCCCCTCCCCCATCTTGAATCCGACGGTTTTGTTTGTGGTTCGTGCCGATGGTTGAGGTGAGCTCTAATAAGGGCTACGGCGCCAGTAGAGGCGAGCTCTGACGATGTCTGCGGCGCACTTGCCTCTCTTCCCATCTCCGTTTTTGCCTCCTGGCAAAGTCCTCACATCTCGACGCCATCGGTGGTGAATCAAGTACTGGAGATGGAGCTCGGTGGCACAAACAGGAGGGACGGTCGCAAGGGGCTGTAGTCACCGTTGAGCTCCTCGACAGAGGTCTGGTGGCGTGGGATAGAAGGTGTGAGCCCAGACCTGCGAAATCTGGCCAGGAACCTATGGCAATATCTGGTTCCATGTTCTTCCCGGAGCAACGCAATAGGCGGACATGGAGCGGAATCTCCGACGTCGGTGGCATGGGCTGAATGCCACATCAAGGCAATGTGAAAACCCTAAGAGGGATCAAAATGACCTAGGCCGAACCCTATGGGATCCCCCTTCGCGCGGTCTATCACCAGTTTATGTACGTACTTCGCCTCAACCACCAACCGTCACTAATCGCCTTGACGTCCCCACCCAAGTCGTTGAATCCCTCCATCACCCTCCCCTAGCCGATGGCACTGGTTGCTCGTTGTGACTTGCCATCATCCATCGGCATTAGGTGAGCATGATTGGTCATTAGATGTGCACCAGCGTCATCCATGTTAGACGACCATATATGGCATGCCCAATTTGCACCACATCGGCACCACATGAGGCCATCTTAGCTGTCACACCCTATTTCTGAGTATTATCAAATTCTCTACGATTAATTATACTCTCTAGAATTTTCTTGGATTCTTCAAAGCTCAACAAGTAGTTTTAATAATAAAAAAATATCATTTCAGAAATAATTTAAATGAAAAACCAAATAAAAATCCTTCCTTGAGCTTCGGGCTGATTTTGGTCCATTCCTTCTTCTCTTATCTCCCGCTTCCCGTTGACATGTGGTACCAGACCCCTCATGTAAGGGTAATCTTCAACCTTCAGCTCGGAGTCCGGATCCCCTATGCCGCTGCCTTCCCACTCTGAATTCGGCCATCCTAGTGGGTCTTTTCTCAGATTGGTTGATGGGATTTTATCTCCTTATCCTCCTCTTTTAGTTTCCCCAAGAATCGAAATGAACCACGTCCATTCACACCGACTGACGTCGTGTTGCAATTGCTAAGTGTCATCTCCTTTTTTTCTCTTTGTCGGTATCCTCGGTGTCTATCACCGATAACCTTAAGGTCCCTCGTCACCATGTCAGCGCCTTGATCGGATCTATCCAATCTCAGTTAACCCTGGTCAACAGATTAAAACGCCTGTCTTCTTTGAACCCTTTCGGTGAGTTGGGTCCATGCTAGATTGTCCTTTCTCTCACCACATGTGGGTCTCACATGTCACTGACTTTAGCCTCCTCTATCTAGGACTGATATCATAGTTTCTTTATCAGTATAAAAATAATTATAAATTATGCAATAAATATATTTAATTGTTTTAAATAGGATTTAATTGTATTGAATCTTGTAAAATTCATAACTAATTCATGCGAACTCGGAATAACGAGGGTAAGTCTCATAATTTATACTAAATAAATCTCTGCATGTGTGTGTACTTTTATATATTGTTTATTTGGAGTTTCTTAGCCTTTTTCTTGTTTTGCGGTGTAGTTCGTGTTGTTTCGGAGGATCGTGAGTTCGGAAGAGGTACATAAAACATTTTTAGGACTTTCTAAGTCATACAGGTCCAAAACATCCCTTTTGAGTATGTTGATCTATATTAGAATTCTTATTTTATTTCAAAGTGTGCCGCCGAATTCAAGCTGACCAGAGACTAGCACCTTCCAACTCTGTCTTTGCCAGATAGTAGCCTCCACGTTGGTAGCCACCACAACCGCCATCGCTAGTGCTCTTGCCGCCTGCTTGCAACGGCAGCACCACAAACCTATAACCACGCCCGCTGTGCCAGACTCCACATAGATGGGACATGCACTGGCTGTGTAGCTGCCGCATGAAGGAGCCATGCCATGCCGGTAGACACCACCACCGGAACTGGATAAGGGAAGATCAGACCTTGCCAACTTAGGGGCACCAGATCCAGCCTTCCCGCGAACACCACCGCCCTCATCCATGAGACCACCACACCATGGGAGCTGCCACACGACCAGGTCAGACGCTGGGTCCTGAAACCAACCACACCACACCTCGCTGGTGGCTCTGCTATATCCCGCTATCACCATCAGAACTAAGGCGCAGAGAGATTGATCTGAATAAAAGGGAAGGGGAAAAGCTTGTGAAAGAGAGAAAAAGGGGAGGAGGTGGCCAGGAGAAGAGGGTGGAGGGCCAAAGGGAGGGGCCACCGCCGGCAATAGGGAGCATCGCCGCCGGCGGTTGGGGGGGGGGGAGGGGGGTTCACCGCAGAGCCTCAGGTGCTTTGAGGCGTCGCCTCCCGGATCGCCTGGAGAGAGCGACACGGGAGTTGAACCGGTCTAAACTCTTTGTTCAAACTATCTGGACAAGTTAATTAGAGCAGTTCATATTTTAGATCTTTTTAAAACTTTTTTACAAATAGAATCTTAGAGAAACTTATTTTACAAATAGACATTTCTCTTGGCGCCAGCATCACTAGCGTTGCGGTTCAACGTGATGCCGTCCCTCCCACCACGTTGGTTTCTCATCAACATGCCAAGAAGACGAGAGAAAGGACCATTCGGACTCACACCAAAGCAAATCCAACCCGCACCAATCCATTTTCTCTGTAGACCCGGACCTATCCAAACAAGTATGCATAACCTAAATGAATACTGTGGATAGGATTTTAACCCACTGCATTATTCCAAGGTTGAATGACTATTCAGTGTTTGCATAATAGGACGACAAAAAAAAAATCATAGAAGTGCTGTTTGTTTCAGTGTTATTTGCACAATTAGCTTACCATGCTAGAATTTTTTTTCATAAACTAATCCGTTGCAACGCGCAGATCGACCATATTTGCTAGTCTTTGTAAAAAAAGTTTGCATTTGGTACATTCTTTTTATAAAATTAAAAGCTAGAATGAAAGCAGAAGATAGCTAGCAATTAATAGTTATGATTACGGTGCTGACCTAGAGGAAACTTGATGCAGCCATCTTTGGTGTAGGGATTGCCACGCGCACCACGCGGACAACGGCAACTGTAGTTTCCTGGCGTGTTTGTACACTCACCGAAGCACTTGCCCGGCAGCGAACATTCGTCGATATCTGGAATGTTATGTTGACCGAGAAAACAGAAGATATAATGGGGTATATAGATAGCTAATTTAGCTTAGGAATGCACTAAGTATAGAATATGAATATTGTATAAGTTATCTTTGTTTTTTTAATATATGACGTGCTGTCGAATTTTGAAATAATGTTCGACACCATTCACCTTATCAAAAAAAATTAATGTAAATATGCTAAAGTATAAATGATACGTAAAAATTATTTAATAATAAAGCATCTCATAACAAAATAAATAATATTTATGTAAATTTTTTGAATAGGAATGAATGCTGAAACGTCATGCCAAAAATTAACGATGTTATCTGAGGGAGTATAATATAATACGTATATAAGTACATACTACCTCCGGTTTTTAATAAATGACGCCATTGACTTTTTTATTACACGTTTAACCATTCGTCTTATTAAAAAATTTTACGTTTATAATTTATTTTGTTGTGAGTTGTTTTATCATTCAAAATAATTTAAGCATGACTTATATCTTATACATTTACATAAATTTTTTAAATAAGATAATGGTTAACCATGTGTTTAAAAGTCAGTAGCGTCGTATACTAAAGAAACGGAGTCTTATACTAAAGAAACGGAGGGAGTATACATGTACCTTGGCAGCCGCCGGTGAGGTAAGGGTTGCCCTGGTACCCGTCGTCGCACTTGCACACGTAACCGCTGCGGTACATGTTGGCGATGTTGCGGCAGAAGCTGTTGCTGCTACGGCACTCGCTTCTCGCCGGGTCCTTGGGGCACGTGCTGTTCACGTCTACGGGAGTGGGCGGCTTGTGAACAGACGCCACGGCCCACTCCAGCACCACGGGCACGGGAACAGCGCTGCGGCTGTTTTTCCTGAGAAGCTTGGTCGACATGCCGTCGAACCAACCGCGCTCCGCGATGCGCACGGCGATGGGCAGGAGGTCGTCGTAGTTGTGGTCCCAGTCGAGCCACCTGAGCTGCAGTTCGTAGGAGGGCCGGCCGATGGTGATGTTGACGTCGCAGCAGCCGAGGCCGGAGCACGCGCCGCCGGCGCCGGAGTGCACTATTGGGTCGGCGCCCCACCAGTCGGTGATGGAGCAGAAGGAGGAGCAGCCGATGATGACGTTGCTGCCGCTGTTCCCGAGCAGGGAGGCCATGATGTTGCACCCCGTCACCACCAGCTGGTTGTGCTCCTCTGAGACGATGTACGGCCCGTCGTCTTGGCCGACGCTGACTCCGGCCCACTTCGCCGTGGAATCGTTGTGCCCCGCAAAGGTGAAGTTCACGGTGCCGACGCCGTTGAGGACGCGCACCGTGTAGTTGGCCAGGGAGATCTCGGTGACCTGGAGGTGGGAGCCGTCGCCGAGGAACAGCCTGTGTGGCTGCTTGGTGCGGTCGCAGGTGAGGTTGAAGCCCGGGAGGAAGCTGCAGCTACCGCCGTCGATGCCGAACAGGTACGGCACGCCCACGTCGCCGCAGGTGTCGACGACGCCGGCGGCGCACCTCGTCTTCGTCGGCTGTGCTGACACTCGGACCATCTGATTCTCCCCCGGCGACAGAAGCAGCAGCGCCACCGCCGCCGCCGCTACACTCCATGGACAAATCATTCGATCCAGACAATAGCCTTGAATCGATCTCTCCAGCTAATAATTCGGTATTAGATGAGTGATCGTCTTCCTGTTCTGTTCACTAAGTATAGATCGATCATCGATGGCGTGCTTGCTTGCAAGTTGTTGCCCGCCATGAAAGGTTGCTACGATACGTTGACCTTATCTTACAAGTGTGTTAAGAGTCAAGAGTCAAGACTGCCATGAGCCGCTCCTTTTTTTTATTTCATATATTGGCTTATACAAATATATAATACTACAAGTTGAAAAGTCGCACGTCTCACTAAATTATGGAGAGCAATACGGCTCAGACGGTGTTCCATCACGGATAAATAACAATTTTAGATATTTCATCACTCGTCAGGGGGTGTATAGTTAGGGGTATAAATTTTTGGCGTGTCACATCGGGTATTATATAGGGTGTCACGTGGGACGTTCAGGTACTAACAAAAAAAACTAATTAAAGAATTCGTTAGTAAACAGCGAGACGAATTTATTAAGCTAATTAATTTGTCATTAGCAAATGTTTAATATAGCATCACATTGTCAAATTATGGAGCAATTAGTCTTAAAATATTTGTCTCATAAATTAGTCGAAATATGTGTAGTTAGTTATTTTTTAATCTATATTTAATACTTCATGCATATATTCAAATGTTCGATGTGACATGGTGTAAAAAGATTGTGTGGCAACTAAACAGGGCCTCAATGAAAAATATTATATCGTGTCATAAAAAATGTTTAAGGCAGACCACAGATGCAACAATTGCAATACATATTTTAATTTCTACAGATATTATCTGTCAGGTTATGGATACCACATACCTAATAGCAGTTGACTAAATATCGGCAGTACCCATCACATACCATGTCTTATACGGAAACAACCTTCGAATATAGGAGGAGTTCCGCATAAGGAAGGATGAATAGAGTTCTACATGAAAACGACAAGGGCTACTCGGATTGTATCCATATTGGTTTCCTTAGTTCTATTTGGACAAAGGGACACCTATAGGTATAAATAGAAGGCCCCCTAGGAGGAGAGGGGACACGGAACAACAGAAGCCACAACATACAAGACAACATGCGCCAAGACATGCCGCCGAATATCGACACAAGAGATATGCCTGGACTGACCCTATCCGATACCTACATAGGCCGGCTGTAGGGATTTAGCGCTGTCTCTGATCTCGCCGAACACAGATTCGAGGAGGAATGCTATCCTGTTGTCGACTACGAGCCAGCACTTCAGACCGCCAAGTCGACAACAGTTAGATAGGCTACCTTATATATTGCATTGATGTGATTATGGTGAATAAGAGCAACGACCGGCTTCGGCCAATAGGAGTAGGGTTATTACCTGACAATTCAGGGGCCCGAACCTGTATAAAAATCCTCGCCTCCGTCTCTTTTACTTAAGTCTCGCGTATATCCTAGTACCAACGATCCCCATACTATGCAAATACCGGAATCGCGACATCAAACGTCGACATTATCATTTAAAATATTTGCTACAAATATTAAATTACTGAGAATATAACGACGATCCTATTTTAATTTATCCACCAAAATATTATTATTTAAGATTTTTGCTATAAATATTAAATTACAGCGAATATAACTATGTAACCGGGTCGTGAATTTCATATGCAATATATTTAATTAGAAGATAAAACTCTTTTAAAGCCATTTAATATTGTAAAATTAGATGACTGGTATGACATCTCACAAAACTCCATGCTGCCTATGAGAAAGTGGACATTCTGCCACTGTCAAGGGTAGGTTTCACCGCAATGCCATTCCACGGAATGGCATCGTTAAAATGCCACTTCCAACCGATGTCAAACCATTGCTTTGCCATATTCACCTTTTCACAAGATTTTCACCATTTTTCACACTTCAACTGACCAAAATACCCCTCTCTCCTCCGGCGAACATGTGGGAGTTGTGGGCGAGGAGAAGGGGAAGGGCCGGCACTGTTCCGGACGCCATCTCCAGCGAGAGAAGGGGAAGAGGCGGTGCTGCTTCGCGGTGGGAGGGAGGCAGAAGAAGCCCGTGGCTCACGTAGCTGGCGATGAACCATGCTGCGAGCAGCAGGAACGCGGCACCGGCGGCGAAGTACAACGCCGACACGGTTGCGGCCTGGGAGGACGGCGACACCGCCGCCGCCGCTGCTTGCAGTCGTAGCCAGCTGGAGCCGGGCCGCGCGCTCGATTTCGGCCAGCTTGACATCGAGCTGCGCATGGCCGGCCTCGCCGGCCAGCCCGAACAGGAGGACGGCTCGCCGATGGCTAGGCGACGGCGACGTGGCCAACCAGCCCGGACAGGAGGACGGCGTTCTCGTCGGCGGGGCGTGCCACGCCGATGCCAAGCATGAGTGACGGGGTGGAGACGAGGCCGTCGCTGGCGCCTAGCACCGCAGCACGCCGCAGCCATCGTGAGTGGCTTTCCCTTCCTCCTTGGCCTCCGCCATGGTGAGCTCAGCGTCACCATCGGCAACCACCACTCAGACCGAAGGGCATTTTGGGTAACCCAGGTGGAAAATTAGGTGAAAATGGAGTGAAATGGTCCAAATGGCAAAACAAATGTAAGCCCAATCTTAGTAGTGGCATTTTAACGACGCCATTCCACGAAATGGCATTATAGCGAAGCCCACACTTGGCAGTGGCGTAATGTCCAATTTCTCGCTGCGTATATGCTGCTATGCTATCTGGAGTTGTTTATGTTACGAGTCCCCTGTGGGGTGTTTTTTTTTTCTCTCTTGCTTTTTATGCTTGGAGCGTCTGACTTCCAAGTGAAAGTGTTTTTATAAATTATTAAACAAACCGGTACATTTATTAGTTGAAAACGAAAGCAAATAGACTAAAAGCATAAAATGATCAGCCCGGAGCTTTATTTAGAAATATATGTTTAGTAGAGCACTCCTTTCGGACTGATAATACTTATCGTTTACATAAGGGTGAGGTAAAACTTTAGAATATTTGATTATAAATCATTTTTAAAATATTTGTCTTTCAAATATTAAAATGTACTTTAATAAAATCACATAATTGTTAACACTTTTATACATATTATAATAAAAAATAATGGTCAAAGTTGTTTTTTTAGACCGTGTCCGAAGGGAGTATTATTTTTGAGGGTCGCCACACTGGCACTTATGATGTTCCATTTGTCAGAAAAAGATTCATCCAAACCTCATCAAATAACGATTCAATTTAGAGTGATGGAGTACTACAATGAATGATTGACTTGGCACAAGGCTCGGTTCGATGTGCTGTTTTGGAGATAGATTTTTTTTATAACACGTAAAACTAGAACCTTATTAGCATATAATTAATTAATTATTCGGTAGCGCTATTCCACGCTATACAGCACGGAACAGTAGTTCGAGCACCGCACAACGTTTTCTTCTTCCGGTTTTCCCTTTTTTACCACCCCACCTCTCCTCCGCATCCCACCTTTTCTCGGTTCGTTTTTTTCGTTTTTTACTACCCCACCTTCCATCTTAATGGGTCTGGTAAAATATTAACCATCCATATTTTTCTGTTTTTCGTTCCTTCTATGTGGTTCTTCTGTTCGCGTTTTAGTAAAACATTTACCGTCTAGTCTTTCCGATTTTTCCGTTTTTCTAGTATCTCGTATCAAAAGTAACGAATTTACTCCGTGGAGTTTTTTATTTACTCCCAGCCTCCCACATCTGCTCATTCAAAAGTAACAAATTTACTCGCATGATGCCTCCACATCGTATGATGCCATACCTGGACGGTCGTAAAAGAATTACTACCAGCTTATAACGCTTGTAATTCTTTTACCAATATTTATTGTTTAGATTTCATGGTATGTGAGTAAAACAATTTCTACCTTCCTCTTAATATAGCACATGATTTCGTAGCCACCATGTAGTAATATATTTACTGATGTGTTCAATACACAGTATAAGAGTAAACAATTACCACCTTTCTGTCGATATAGCCATGATCTCGTAGCCACTGTGTAGTAATATATTTACTTATATGTTTAATATACAATATAAGAGTAAAAACTGATACTAAGAGTATTGTTGATCTGCATCACAAAATAGTCGTATGAATGAAAAAATTACAGGCTTAATCACACACAAGCAATCAAATCACTCACAGGTGAATCAAACTAGAAAAAAAAATGATCCAGCCAAAAATTCGTCTGGTGGCTTTGCTGGATCTTGCTATAAGGATGAAGATGATGGTCTGTGTCTTGTGACTGGTAGTGGAGAGGGCAACCGGGTGGCGAGCAGTAATCGACGATGGAATCATGGAAGGATGTAGCGGTGTGGTATAGAGATGAGCTCGACGTTGCACAGTAGCAGCCATCCATCATGTAGCAAGCACAAAAAAAAATACAAAAACATTCTCGTTCATGTCAATAGATATGACGAGCAAAAGAAAAATAGGAAACAACCTCCAGCGGACTCCACCCTATCCTCTGCGGCCAGCCATATGGAGCAAGATGTGCAAGTGTAGGACCTGTGTAGCCCATCAATTGAGATCAGGTAACATTGGAGATTGCACATTAATTTGATATGAAAAGAAAATTGGGGCTTCATGCGTGAAGTTCAAGGAAAGTATGCAGATGCAAATCATAGTGTCATTTTCTTACTTGCTTTTTCTATCAATATCGTCGATGTGGAGCAGCCGCTGGTTGTTGCTATTGGCCCAGGTGAACACCTCCTTGCTGGTTAAGATGTTGCCCGGCGTCCGGCAGCGAGGCCTGAAGCAGTGCCTTCGCCTCAAGCGCCGTCGGCCACCACTCGCCGGCCACTGCCATCAACCACCATGGTTCGTCATCCTTCTCCATGGTGCGTCGCCGATCTGTGGGCTGGGATGGTGGATCGATTCAGATCCGGATAAAAAAGGAAAAAATGAATTGGGGGTGAGAGTAGTTGGTTGGGTATGGGAAAAATAGAATATATACCAGAAGTAAATAAGTTGTTATTATCGGAGTAAATCATTTACTCCGATAATGGTGGGAGCACGTTGCGGGATGTGGTGTGGGATCGAAACGGAAGTTGTTTTTATTATCGAAGTAAATCGTTTACTCTGGTAATGGTAGGAGTGTGATGACGGGACGTGGGGTGGGATAGTAATCAGAGAAGTTTTTTATCGAAGTAAATCGTTTACTCCAATAACGGTGGGAGCGGGATGACGGAACGTGGGGTGAGGTGGGTCTGGCTGATACACGTTTGGCG